TATTTTTATTTGATAGTTTTCATAGTTTTTCAAGTATTTGTAGTATATAATGTTCAGTAGTTGAAGTGGTTCTATATATCTGAAAGATCTGTAAAGTATTTATTATTTTGTTGGATAAACATACTCTTGTGATTCTCAAAATTATGTTCTAGAATAAAACAGCTCTGATATATTCTTTTTGCAGGTTCAGCAGGAAGTTATTGGTTTTGTGTCCAGCATTGTTGATGATGCCAACCACCCCAAGATCGCTGAAGTGCTATGGTAAGTAATTTATTGAAGATGAGAGTATAAACTTTCATGTTATGAATACCTTTCTGTGACATGTTTATGCCACATTGGTGGATTGGAGTGATTTTGTCTTAGAAAGTTTCGCAAAGTTCTAGTTCCTCTGTGGATGCATTACAATGAAAACATAAAAAGCAGTGAAGGAAGAAAGTAGTAAATAACCTTTTTGTGTACAACTTGTTCAAAACTATTGGCATTTTATCAGCCATTGAAATTGTGAAGGAAATGGAATTTGTGGACTCCTTGATATCAGTTGATGTAAGACCAAAGTGTGGTAATTCATCTAATTGGTATAAAAGTTAAAAGCTGATATTAATTCCATAATCTGTGTTTGAATTCTAATTTCACATAGGATTAATTTTCTTTAGTATCTACTGATATTAGGAGGCAATATATAATGGTATAAGGTAGAAAAAAAACACTGAAGGAATATTAATGTTTATTAATGAAGTGATTTAAGTTAATTGTACATCAGATAGAAAGGAATTATAAAGTCTCTATAGAAAAAAATAGTTATTGTAGAAAGTGGGATGTATTATAAATGAAAAGGAAAGTTTTGCATTATTTTATAAGGAAAAGCAAAAATATAAAAAATGTAACATAGTACTTCTCCTTTTAGAGATGATAAAATAGGCTAAGGAAAGCTGGAAACATCTTCCATGTTGTGTTACTTGCAAAGTAAGAGTTTCATAGTAGACCTTGACATTATTTTCTTAGATATGAACTGCAGTATAACTGAATAGGTAATCAATAATTAGAATTCAGGAAAGTTATAACCAAATTTACAATGAAGGACTAATGAAAAATAGTGTGATGAGAGTTATAGTGGCATAGTACAATAATTTCACATATATTACATAAAGTTTGGTATATGATTAACCAACCATCTCAAAGTATGGACATTTTAGAAGAATATGAATAAGCAGTTCAGTTTCAAATCAGCATGAAGATCTGCACAACCTATTTTTGAGCAAAAAGACCACATGTGTGGCATTGTCTTTGAAATCCTGATGTTTTGTTATGTATACCCTTCACCGTGCTTATAGTGAGGTAGCGTTGCTTTATTAATTGGATTGAATTTTGGATGTTCAGCAATATGGTGTTATCTTTCTCCAGCATGGTGGTCCATTACACTATATTATTGGTTTCGTATCCATTTTGCATACAAAACAGCATATTGAAATGAGTATGTCAGAATTGTGATATTTTCGGAATTTTACTGTCGTTTATTTCTTTAGTTCAGCATAAATAAAGTTCATGTGTGAACTTAATTTTCAGGGATTTAAAGAGTTAGATGATAAAGGATATTCAGTATGAAGAGAATTAAGTCAGATTAAACTATATTCTTTGCACGTTTCCATTCTTGGAAAAGTAGAGGGGTTTGGTTCGAGTAAGAGCCTTTTTCATGGATCCGGTGCCTTCCATCACTAGGGGTTTATTCCCGCACTGAGTGACCTGTAGAAAAACAAAGAATTATATACACATATATATATATTTATTTATATATAATGCAAATGTAAATGTTTTTTTTTTTTTTTTTTTTCTAATTGATAATTGATATTTAAGAAATATAATCAAGTGTAATACTGTCTTTGTTATTATTATTGTTGCAACTACTGTTATTGTTGTTTGTTATCATTATTACTATTATTTTGTATTATTATTGTGATGATAATGATCATGGTGATAATCTTTATTAATATTGTAGTGATAATAATGATAATAATAATAATGGTATGATGATGATGATGATGATGATGATGATGATGATGATGATGATGATGATGATGATGATGATGATGATGATGATGATGAATGATGATGAGAATAATATTGATAATAATAGGGTTGATGATAAATAGTATTGATGATATTAATAATACTAATGATAATAATAATAATCAATGTCATAATATATGTATACATATATGTGTGTGTGTGTGTGTGTGTGTGTGTGTGTGTGTGGTGTGTGTGTGTGTGTGTGTGTGTGTGTGTGTGTGTGTGTGTGTGTGTGTGTGTGTGTGTGTGTGTGTGTGTCTGTCTGTCTGTCTGTCTATGTATATATATATGTATATATTGTATGTATATATATTATGTATGTATATTTATATTTGTATGTTTATATATATGTATGTATATATATGTATGTGTATATATATATATATATATATATATATATATATATATATATATCATATATTTATATATAATAGATAGATAGATAGATAAATAGATTTATTTCTGTATATATATACACATACATAGAGATAGATAAAGATAGATAGATATTATTTTACCTGCATACAGGCTGATAAGAACTGCCATGCTTGTGTTTCTTCAGCTGGTTTTAGGAGTAGAACCAGCACATTATTCTCAGGCGGTGGGTCCAGTAAGACTGTTATGTCTGCTGATAATCTTTTGCGTACTACCTGGTGGCAATCAAGGTGTATGGTTAGCTTTGCATACTGGATGATAAGTCTTCGTTCACAGATTAAAATTTAAGTCCTATTGTAATGAGATTATTTTCTTTGTGTGTGGGTGTATTTCCATGGTTAAAAGGAATGGAGGGGTTGGAAAGCCTTATACACTAAATATTCTTATTAAAAGGTATAAAAAAATAGGTAGTTAGTGTCTTTGGTCAAAGTACTGTGAATTTGATGTTTAGTACAGTTAATGCTATTTAACTGGTTATCAGTCTATTCAAGGATTACTTCAAAGAATGAAGAAATTATATCTTAGTGACCAATAATTCCACAACTAATCCTTAATTTTTAAAATGAATTTATGTATGATTATATAATCTTACATGTAAACTGCTACTTGGGTTAATTAACATTAAAATAATTAGGATCATGGAGTATGGAGGCTTATTTGACCGGTTATCAATATATCAAAAAACTTCAAAGGATGAAGAAATTATATCTCTGTGAACAGTAAATGAACAAGTAACCCTTTATTACTACTCTTAGTGAATTTGTATATAATTATATAATTCTACATGTAAACTAGTACTTGGTTCTTCAGAGATTTTTTTGGTTGATTAACATTGAAATAATTAAGATCATGGAGTTTGGATTAAGATAATCTTACCTTATGAAGGTCATCAGAAGCATCAGATGCGCACTCATCATCATCATCATCTAAGAGTGTTGTTATGTCCTCCGCCCGGTTCATATGTAAAGGTATTTGGTTAACGGGACTCTTTGGTTTTTCTTCACACACATCAAGTTTTTGTTGTGGCTTTTGTTCAGTCAGTGGAAGACTACTTTTTATATTTTGTAGGGATTGGTCTGTGTTTGTGAGCAGTTGGCTGTGACTGTCCAGGCTATACGATTTAGTCCCCCGCGATATTTTAGGCTTTGGCGGGACAGGTGGTGGTGGCTTCGCTGGATGTGACGTGTTGGCTCTGGGACTTAAGGATGTGGTCTTTTTGAGGGCACTTCCGTTTGTTAGTTGTTCCTCTGAAAGGTGGAAGGAGTAATATGATTGTAAAGGAACATTTGATACTGTTCTGTAGTTTGTAACTAGTTGGGTAATTTGCTGATTTTTAAGTATTGCCAACAGTGGTTGTGTGTTTTAGTATTTTAGGAAAAGTATTTGCAAAATTTATAACTTGGGGAACAATTTTTTATGATTGTAAAATGTTTCACTTTAAATTGATATAGATTTTTTTATGGCTGGTTGGCTGACTGAATGACAATGACTGACCTTGAGTGATAGGGGGTATAGAGGGAGAAAGATGTGTTGGGGACTGTGGAGTAGATTCCAAGGGAGGAACAGGTTGCTGTAATGGCTGAGAGTGCAGGATGCGTTGCAGGTTTACTTTGGCTGGCACGGCACTCCTGGGCACTTGCTCGATGCCATTGAGCACAAGGTGGCACTTCTTGACCTGTGACCAGTCCCCTAGGTGGAACACCAAGTACGTCCCCATCTGGAAAAAGTGTAGTTGAGTATGTTTTCCATTGGATAGAAAATGTTACTTTCTTACATGGTTATTTATGATTTTGTAATTGGTGTGGTGTGGGTGTGGGATGTGGGTGTGGGTGTGTGGGAGTGTGTGAGTGTGAGTGTGAGTGTGTGAGTGTGTGTGTGTGTGTGTGTGTGTGTGTGTGTGGTTGTGTTTTTGTGTTTAAAAATACCTTGATATTTTACCAAAAAATTTAATCATAACCTTATCATATTGCATTTTTTGTTCCTCCCAAGGCGTGGAAGTATGGCAGCTCCAAAATATAGACTTTATTTTCAACTTCAGTTCTTTTTATAATCAAATAATTCCTCTGCGTTGGACAGTTCATCATAGTCTGAGAGAGTATGGACAGGTAACACATGGGACGATAGTACAGGTGGGCCTCCTGATACGGTCTGCAGAGTCCCGAGTTTCCGAGTCTTTTTCATCACCTTTTATGGAAAGCAATTTTCCATGAATTCCAGGTTTGATAAGAATATCTGTTTGCTCAATAGAAGGGTTTTATTGATTATCAAAGTCGCTGTCTAATGCTTTTCCACAAGCGAGTTTTATTGGTTAACAGCAAGTCCGTTTTCTATTTCTAAGTAATATGCAACTAAGTAAGTGACAATGTCAAAGAAAAAGGGAAATTGTCAACAGCAAGCCCGTTTTCTATTTATAAAGAATACTCAACTAAATAAGTTACAATGCCAAGAAAAAAGAGGAAAATTTGAAAGTTTCATATTTATTTCGAGCATCGGCTGGGACCCAAGGGCAAGGCGGGTGTTGAGAACGGAGGCGCAGTGGCCTCCCGAGCGGTATGAGTTGAGAAATGCTTTCTAAATATTTGCGGTTTTATTTCCGAGTGTCGGCGAGAGAACATGGCGGTGCATAGAGGTGGCTACGTAAAACAATATCGTCTACATTATTAGCAGTATTATGGTAAACATTATTATCGTTATTATCACCGTCGTTATCGTCATTGTTGCAGTTTTATTAATTAAAGCTACTGTTGTTGCTTTTGTTGTCATTGTTAGTACTATTGGTATTACTATTGTTATTCAAAATTGATTGTTATTCAAAAATCGAATTGATTTAAATCGCAATAATTCAAAATAGACATAATCTGCTTTCTGATCCGTTCCTTCTAAAATCCTTCGCGAATCCTTCCTCTCGATGCAAATAGAGAACTTTAAAATCACTCTATTAAGGATATGCGGCATAACAAACCGTATTGAATAGAGAGAACACGATCAACACAATAGAACATTCAGTACAAACAATATATTTTTTGTTTGAAGTTGGTGTTTTTGATTATAAACATTTTTTTTTTTTTGGGGGGGGGTTGAGATACTGTTTGAATGTGACTCGAAAGTAATAAGGAGAGAAATATTCGCCATGTCGCTTGGTTGACTCACCGAGAAGAATTGTAACTGTAATGATTGTGGGGAAAAAAGACATGGCGGTGAGTAACAAAGGTTCCGACATGAGAGATAAAAAGTTACGTGCAGGATTAAGGTCTTGGATTTTGGAAGGAACAGCCCAGAAAGCAGATTATGTTTATTTTGAATTATTGCGATTGAAATCAATTCGATTTTTGAATAGCAATCAATTTTGAATAACAATAGTAATACCAATAGTACCAACAATGACAACAGAAATCACAACAAAAGCTTGGGGTCCTTGGAGTGGTACATGGAATAGAAGGGTTAGAGAAAATGAGACTTGATGGTATAGGGGATATAATGTGCTTCTTGCAGAAATGAGACTCATGGAATCATTATGTATTCATAATATAATTATTGTGCTAGAATGAGACTTGATGGCATCATTATGTATTCATAATATAATTATTGTGCTTCTTGTAGAAATGAGCATTATGTATTCATAATATATATAGAACATTATGTGTGCTTCTTGTAGAAATGAGACCATCATTATGTATTCATAATATAATTATTGTGCTTCTTGTAGAATGTCCGTATTGGTATGTTCGCATCTTCTTGTAGTAAAGCCTCCGTATTGTGTTTTTCACGGCGCGAGTGACGTGGTGGCCTACCTTCGCGCGGTTTTGTCAAAGCCACGTCATACTCGAGTGATAACCCCACCCCCCTCCATCCATCCCCCCCCCCCATCGGAAGTGCTCTGCGGCGCGTGCGTCACTCCCGCGGAATCCGAATGGTCACGGGTCCTCTTTCGCTCTCTCGGGGGGGAAAAAAAGGCTAGATCAGGAGCAACTCGAGGAGGAGGTGTCATGGCGTCTGCTTCTATTTTTTTTTTTGGGGGGGGGGGGAAGAAACAAAAACACATGAGGTTTATTTTGATGACGTCATTAAAATTACGGATGCTTTGTGAACAGAGTCGATCATGTCGGTCTCTCCAGTTTTCAAAAAAAAAAAAAAAAAAAAAAGGATGGAAAATAACGATTTTTAACGGTTATATTTTCATCGGACGATCGTCAAAACAGACGCCATGACACCTCCTCGAGTTGCTACTGATCTACCCTTCCCCCTTCCCCCCCTCTCCTTCCTGGGCTCGGCTGCGCATTCCTTCCCGATACTTTCCTTATTGTGCGCTTATCTCGTCCACTAAACCTGTTGTTGTTGTGGGGACAGGTATGTGCTTGGCGCGCGTGGTCGTCTGCGCTTGGTTTGCTTCGCTGTTCAGGCGAGACGAGCTGCGGTGTGAGCTCTGGATCGCGAGACTTTCGTGATAGATTAATCTGATTTTTTTATAAATCTGAAGCTTTTCTTTTTTTTTAAATATAAATCTGAAGTTGTTTTTATAATTCTGAAGTTGATTTTATAAATATGGTGTTTTTTTTATAAATCTGTTATTTTTTTTTTTTATAAATCTGAAGTTGTTATTATGAATCTGAAGTTGTTTCTTTATAAATCTAAAGTTTTTTTTTATATAAATCTGTTGTTTTTATAATTCTGAAGTTGATTTTATAAATCTGAAGTTTTTTTTTATAAATCTGAAGTTCTTTTTTAAATCTGAAGTTATTTTTATCTTTCTTTTTTATCATTTTGAGTGATTGATAACGCCGCTTCGTGCACAGAGGTGGGCGCGAATGAGCTCAATCAAACTCCGAACTTGATTATGGACTGATAACGCAATCAGTAAACACCTGTCGTTCGCTGATTGTGCCGGGGGTGCCTGGTCAGCCTCCTCGACTGATAGGAGAGAGGGAGGTCGCGGAGGGCAGTGGGAGTGTGATGCAACACGCCGCACTCGGGTTTCCAGAAAGGAGACCGTTCGCGTGGCATGGCACTGGGTGGCACTGGGCGGCACTGGGTACGGTCTCGTTGGTTGGTCGAAGGTGGGAGGGTATTTTTTTTGGGGGGGGGCTCGTGGCAGATATGTTATTTTGGTGTGAGTGGTGTTGATGAGGATAGTGATGATGATGTGGTGATAGTAGTAAACGCTGATGATAGTGATACTGCAATAATAATAATGATAATATAATATAATGATAATGATAATAATATAATGATAATATAATAATTAATAATAATTAATAAAAATACTACTACTACTACTACTACTACTAGTAATAATAATAATAATAATAACAATAATAATAGTAATAATAGTAATAACAATAGTAATGATAATATAAATAATGATAACAATATGATTAAGGATAATGATGATAACACTAACGACAATATAACAACAACCACGACAGCTGCAATAATAATAATGATAATTTTAAGTTTGAACGTGGCAGGCCCTTGTGACTTATGGCTATGTCTCTTGCTATTGCGCTTCTAAATTAAGCTGTAAAATGCTGTAAAATGCTGCGGAGTTGGCGAGGAATTTCCTGGCGGTTTTAGGCTCTCCGGTCACTGTAGCATCTGAGTCGACCAGAGGAAAGGAAACCCGAGATACGAATGATGAGATGATTGATTTTTTATTTTATTTTTTATTTTTATTTTATGTATTTATTATTTATTTTTATACCTGTATTTTTTTTATATTTTTATTTTTTTTATTTTTTTTTTTTTTTTATTTAATATATATAATATGTATATATGTATCTATTATATATATCTATAATAATATATATATATATATATATATATATATATATATTATATATATATATAATATATTTTTTTTTTTTTTTTTTTTTTTTTTTATTTATTATTTTTTATACCTGTATCGGCGTGCGGAGGGTGGGTGTGTCGCCGGTGCGTGTGGGTCGCGTGGCCGCGTATCCTCACGACTCGCGGGGCAGGAAGTCGTACTGTGGCCTGGCAGGAGACGACCTGGAGGGAAGGCGTACGGTTGTCAAGGATGTATTGAACGGGATTGCACGTTCAGCCACGAGAGCCTTTTGAGCTCTTGGTCTCGCATCCCGCGCGCTGATCCGCACACGTGGGAGTCGGGTCTCTCGCTCGCTCTCTCTTTTTCTCTTTCTCTCTTTTCTCATTTTTGCTTTCTCTCTTTCGCTCTCGCTCTCGCCTTCACTCTCGCTCTCTCTCGCTCTCTTCTCTCTCCTCTCTCTCTCTCTCTCTCTCTCTCTCTCTCTCTCTCTCTCTCTCTCTCTCTCTCTCTCTCTCTTCTCTCTCTCTCTCTCTCTCTGCTCTCTCTCTCTCTCTTTCGCTTTCTCTCTCTCTTTTTCGCTTTCTCTCTCTCTCTCTCTCTCCTCTCTCTCTCTCTCTCTCTCCTCTCTCTCTCTCTCTCTCTCTCTCTCTCTCTCTCTCTCTCTCTCTCTCTCTCTCTCTCTTTCTCTGTCTCTCCTTCGCTTTCTCTCTCTTTCTCTCTTTCTCTTTTCTCTCTCTTTCACTTTCTCTCTCTTTCGTTTTCTCTTCGCTTTCTCTCTCTCTCCTTTTCCCTCCCTCCTCCTTCTCTCCTACTCCCTTCTCCCTACTCCCTCCTCTTTCTCTCGCTCCATCTCCCTCATTCATTCGTTGTCATTGCAAACCAAATCCGTACAATAGAGAGAATTCTAGGACTCCGTCGATTGCAAGATCCTGTCGCCCAAAACCAGGATCTCTTTAACTCCCATGAAATTCGACGTCTGACACATGCAGGAGACGCACACGAGAGGGGGACGACCACACGAGAGGGGAGGGGACTCGCAGAAGAGGGGAGGGGGATTCAGACACGCACACGAGAGGGAGGGGGAGAACACAGAGAGGGGGGGGGACTCAAACACGCACACGAGAGGGGAGGGGGGGACTCAGACACGACTCAGACTCGACAACGAGAGGGGAGGAGGGGACTCAGACACACACGCTCAAACACGCACACGAAGGGGAGGGGGGACACGACACGAGAGGGAGGGGGGACTCAGACACGCACACGAGAGGGAGGGGGGGACTCGAACACGCACACGAGAGGGGAGGGGGACTCAAACACGCACACGAGAGGAAGGGGACTCAAGACACGCACACGAGAGGGGAGGGGGATTCTCTCAGACACGCACATGAGAGGGGAGGGGGACTCAAACACGTACACGAGAGGGGAGGGGGACTCAAACACGCACACGAGAGGGGAGGGGGACTCAAACACGCACATGAGAGGGGAGGGGGACTCAAACACGCACACAAGAGGGGGGGGGGACTCAAACACGCACACGAAAGGGGAGGGGGACTCAAACACGCACACGAGAGGGAAGGGGGACTCAGACACGCACACGAGAGGGGAGGGGGGACTCGAGCACACGAGAGGGGAGGGCTTCATACACGCACACGAGAGGGACTCATCAGACACGCACACGAGAGGGAGGGGACTCAGACACGCACACGAGAGGGGAGGGGGATTCAAAACACGCACACGAGAGGGAGGGGGACTCAAACACGCACACGAGAGGGGAGGGGACCAAACACGGAGAAGGGGGACTCAACACACACACGAGAGGGGAGGGGGACTCAGACACGCACACGAGAGGGCTCACGCACACGAAGAGGGGAGGGACTCAGACACGCACATCAGACACGAGAGGGGAGGGGGACTCACGCAACGAGAGGGGAGGGGGACTCAAACACGCACACGAGAGGGGAGGGGGACTCAGACACGCACACGAGAGGGGGGGGACTCAAACACGCACACGAGAGGGAGGGGGACTCAAACACGCGAGAGGGGAGGGGGACTCAAACACGCACACGAGAGGGGAGGGGGACTCAAACACTCTCAAACACGCACATGAGAGGGAGGGGGACCACGCACACACGAGAGGGGAGGGGGACTCAAAACACACAACGATAGGGGAGGGGGACTCAAACACGCACATGAAAGAGGAGGGGGCTCAAAACATACACATGAGACGGGAGGGGAACTCAAACACGCACACGAGACGGAGGGGATTCAAACACGCACATGAGAAGGGAGGGGGCCTCAAACACGCACACGAGAGAGAAGGGGACTCAAACACACACACTAGAGAGCGGATACAGACCTGGAGGCGGTGGTGGTTGTAGTAGCAGCCGAGGGTGCGTGACAGAGCCTCGAACACGCACAGGGACTTGAGGTGAGGGGCGTTGAGGCAGACGACCCTCGAACTCACGGGCATCACCTCCAGTTGGTCCATCTTCGAGCCGTCGTCGCTGCCGATGGGGCGCTAGGGGGAACGGTTCTCGTCGGGGGCACGGGTGTGTCACTTGCACGTGTTGATTTTTTTTTTTTCTTTTTCTTTTTTAGATCATAATTCCGATAGAAGCATTTCTAGGAAGGGTGTCGACGCCACTGTTTTCCGACTGTCCTTCCCGCACAGGCGACTCGCTCTCCCTGTCGAGTCGGGCGTCGCCAGAACAGAACTGAAATCGCCGGACGGCCTCAGCGTCCGCTGCGATAAGGCCGCGTCCTGCGCTAGTTGCAGTCGCAGGACGTGGGCTGATCAGTGTGCATGCGCCTTGATCCGCGTCCTGGGATCTCTCTGTCCATCCTCTCTGCCCTGAATAAACACCCGGCTATTATTAACACCCCTGCGCTGAACTGGCTTGGGCTTACATTGATACATCGGTAAAAATCGCGAGTTTATGCTCGGATTCGTATGCGTAGCACGTTTGCGGGGGAGGAATTGCACGGCCGAATGTCTGCATCGGATTTACGAAATGCATTTGTCAAGACTAGGCTGCGTCTCGGCGGATTACTCCTGAGGGGGCAGAGGCGGGCGGTCAGCTGAAAGACCACCGGGAAGGAAGGAGGAAACCTGTTCAGATGTTTAAAGATAAGACTCACTTGTTTCGCACTGAGGGCCAGAGGGTCAGCTGCACAACAAGGGGAATTTTAAGTGGTAAATAAATAGCGGCGGTATAACGATGCGGGTGTTATTACTATGATAACATGACTCTCCCGTCACGTGTTTGAGGCCAACAAGAAGCAATCGCTGTCCTTGGCTGCGATATACAGTTTCTACCAGTAACGGAGCCACAACTACAACCACGTCTACCAGACTACTACGCGGCCACGACCATTTAGCAGGCGCGACTTTTGTTGTAACGGTTATGTCGCTGCGGTTACGATAACTTCTGCGATAAGTGGATGGCTATTGTCCTTGCAACTTGTCTGTGATTTTATGTAGCAACTTTTTTTTGTGATTTTATGTAACAGGTCACAAAGGCATTCGCGTAAGGAGTACCTGCGTTACGATAGCGAAGAGGAAATGCACGTTGCGTTCGAAGGCATGGCGTATGGCTCGTCAGGACAGTGGCTCTTGGGTGGTGCTCTCTCTCTTGCTCTCTCTCTCGCTCTCTTTCTTTCTTCTTTTTTTCTTTTTTCTTCTTTCTTTCTTTTCTTTCTTTCTTATTCTCTCTCTCTCTCTCTCTCTTCTCTCTCTCTCTCTCTCTCTCTCTTTCTCTCTCCTCTCTCTTTCTCTCTCTCTCTCTCTCTCTCTCTCTCTCTCTCTCTCTCTCTCTCTCTCTCTCTCTCTCTCTCTCTCTCTCTCTCTCTTCTCTCTCTTCTCTTTCTCTCTCTCTCTCTCTCCCTCCGGAAAAGCTGCGTGCATTGTTTCCCTCACAGCTGACATCCCTCACAGCTGATATCCCCTCACAGCTGATTTCCCCTCACAGCTGATTTCCCCTCACAGCTGATCAATGTCTAGGTCTTGCGGGATGCAGATATCACAGGGTTAGAGGAGTTATTGGTTCTGGTGGAGGCCCTTAAGCACGTCCTGGCTTGTTGACAGGTAATGACTGAAGTTCAGGTTTGTTAATTGGCATTTTGGAATGGAGCATGGAAGGGTTTATGAAGGGGGGGTGGGTGTACGTGGGGTGGGGGGAGGATATGTTTTTATTCTCTGTCTATCTTACGCACGCACGCACTCTCGGTCTCATACTCATGCTCAGACACTCACCTACCCATCCGCTAACTCACTCAAACACTCACTCGCTCACTCATTCACTCACTCACTCACTGCTGACTCTCACCCACCTACTCACTCACTCACTCACCACTCACCCTTTCTTTCACTCACTCACCCACCCACCTACCCACCCATCCAACTACTCACTCGCCCACCTACTCATTCACCACCCACTCACTCACTTACCCACCCACACACTCACATGTCCTCATTTATCGGAGCCAGCTGTCCCTTCCCCCCAACCCACCCACCCATCCCTACCACCCTAACCACCTACCTACCCCCCCCCACCCCCACCCTCCTACCCAACCCCACCCCCACCCCACCCTCGCTATCTCCGGCCGTCTTGCGCACCTCCACGGGGGCTGATAACATGCTGTGATAATAGGGTTTTATTGCCAGTCGCAGCGTCCCCCGGGGTGTTGACTCGGGGGAGCTGCGTGGTCCGGCGTGGTTCGCGTGGCGCTGGACGGGGGGGGGGTGGTGGAGGCCGAGGGCGTGTGGGGTGTGGGGCGGGGGGTGTATGGGGACGCACGGGGATTGGAGTTGTTTGTGGGGGTGGTGGAGATTGGGAGTGATTTGGGGGTGGGTGGGGTGGAAGGAAGGGGGTAGGGGGTCAAGCGGGAGGAGTAAGATCGGTGTTGGTTGTGGATGTGCGAGTGGAGGGGTGGCTTTTGAATCGTGGTGTGGAGGATTGGTTTAGGGGAGGGCATGTTCGCACACGTATAGGGATACGCTCGAACGCGGCATGCACACCCACGCGCACAGTGTACACACGCATGCACAATGCACACACACACACATAGACTCTCATAGACGCATGTGTGCAAGCAAACATGCGTGCGGATGCGCAGGAACGCACAGAGGCGCGCGCGCGTACACACACACACACACACACACACACACACACACACACACACACACACACACACACACCACACACACACACACACACGGGCGAGGAAGGACAGCTGTGTCGTGTCTAGACCGACTGACACGCTGTCGGGAGAAGGGACAGGGGGGGGGGGGATGAGCGAGGGTGGAGGGAGTGGGGGGAGGGTACAGAGGGAGGGAGGGAGGGAGGGGGGGTGTCAGTAGTGCAGACTTTGTAATGTCATGGTCACTCAAGCCGACGTTCACTAGAGCGAGTGCGTAGGAGAGGGAGAGGACATAATGCGAAAGAGAAAGCATAGGAAAAAGTCGGGGTTATTTGAAAGCATCCGACGGGTCCGGAGGGAGATGTGAGATGGCGAAGAGGAGGATAAGGAGTAGGAGAATGAAGTAGGAGATGGAGCGGGGAGGAAGAAGGGAGTTTCGGGGAGGAGGGAGAAGCGAGGAAGAAGGGAAGGAGACGATAAGATAAAATAACGAATATAGCACGAAGACGGAAGTGCCATTGAGAGAAAGGATAGAAAACAGGAAATAGGAATAATACGCTAAAAATAAATTAAATATATAGACGGTCATCTTATTACCGGAATTAATAAAAAAAAAATAATGGAAGGCGGACATAGCGCGAAGACGGAAAGAGAGAAAGGAGAGAGAGAAAAAAAAAACATTGAGAGAAAGGAGAAACAAATCAGAAAATTGGAAAATTGGGAAAAAATTACACTAACAAAAATTTGGAAATTCAATATAAAACAATTTAATAAAACATTTAAATAAACCTTAAAAAAATGCTATTGATTCATCAGAACTAAAATGAAACAAAGAATTTAACCAAACACTAAGCATGTGGAAAAGGAGAAATTTAGGCATTTGGAAAAGGAGAAATTTAGGCATTTTTAGGAAAAAGGGAGAAATTTAGGCATTTGGAAAAGGAGAAATTTAGGATTTTGGAAAAGGAGGAATTTAGGCATTTGGAAAAGGAGAAATTTAAGCTTTTGGAAAAGGAGAAATTTAAGCTTTTGGAAAAGGAGAAATTTAAGCTTTTGGAAAAGGAGAAATTTAGGCTTTTGGAAAAGGGAGAAATTTAGGCATTTGGAAAAGGAGAAATTTAAGCATTTGGAAAAGGAGAAATTTAAGCATTTGGAAAAGGAGAAATTTAGGCTTTGGAAAAGGAGAAATTTAAGCTTTTGGAAAAGGAGAAATTTAAGCTTTTGGAAAAGGAGAAATTTAGGCATTTGGAAAGGAGAATTTAGGATTTGGAAAAGGAGAATTTAGGTATTTTGGAAAAGGAGAAATTTAGGCATTTGGAAAAGGAGAATTTAGGCATTTGGAAAAGGAGAAATTTAGGCATTTGGAAAAGGAGAAATTTAGGCATTTGGAAAAGGAGGAATTAAGCTTTTGGAAAAGGAGAAATTTAGGCATTTGGAAAAGGAGAAATTTAGGCAAAAGGAAATTTAAGCTTTTGGAAAGGAGAATTTAAGCTTTTGGAAAGGAGGAATTTAAGCATTTGGAAAAGGAGAAATTTAGGCATTTGGAAAAGGAGAAATTTAAGCTTTTGGAAAAGGAGGAATTTAAGCATTTGGAAAAGGAGAAATTTAAGCTTTTGGAAAAGGAGGAAATTTAGGCATTTGGAAAAGGAGAAATTTAGGCATTTGGAAAAGGAGAAATTTAGCTTTTGGAAAGGAGGAAATTTAGGCATTTGGAAAAGGAGAAATTTAAGCTTTTGGAAAAGGAATTTAAGCTTTTGGAAATTTAAGCTTTTGGAAAAGGAGAAATTTAAGCTTTTGGAAAAGGAGGAATTTAAGCTTTTGGAAAAGGAGAAATTTAGGCATTTGGAAAAGGAGAAATTTAAGCTTTTGGAAAAGGAGAAATTTAGGCATTTGGAAAAGGAGAAATTTAAGCTTTTGGAAAAGGAGGAATTTAAGCTTTTGGAAAAGGAGAAATTTAGGCATTTGGAAAAGGAGAAAATTTAAGCTTTTTGGAAAAGGAGGAATTTATTTTATTTTTTGGAAAAGGAGAATTTAAGCTTTTGGAAAGGAAAATTTAAGCATTTGGAAAAGGAGAAATTTAGGCATTTGGAAAAGGAGAAATTTAAGCTTTTGGAAAAGGGGAATTTAAGCAAAAAGGAGAAATTTTTGGAATTTAGGCATTTGGAAAAAGGAGAGATTTAGGCATTTGGAAAAGGAGGAATTTAAGCATTTGGAAAGGGATAAATTATTGCTCTCTGGTCATGAGACACGCCACAGGGCCGAGGTCAAGAGAGGTCGGTCTCCTTAAAACGGTTCATTATTGCACAGGTGAGAAGGGATCGGGGAGAGGGACAGGTGTAAGAAAGATGGGGGAAGAAGCGAGAATGGATAAAGGGAAAGGAGGAAGAGGTGGGAGAGGGAAAGGAAGGAAGGGGAGAGGGACAGGTGTAAGAAGAATGGGGGAAGAAGCGAGAATGGATAAAGGGAAAGGAGGAAGAGGTGGGAGAGGGAAAGGAAGGAAGGGGAGAGGGACAGGTGTAAGAAAATGGGGGAAGAAGCGAGAATGGTAAAGGGAAAGGAGGAAGAGGTGGGAGAGGGAAAGGAAGGAAGGGGAGAGGCAGGTGTAAGAAAAATGGGGAAAGAAGCGAGAATGGATAAAGGGAAAGGAGGAAGAGGTGGGAGAGGGAAAGGAAGGAAGGGGAGAGGGACAGGTGTAAGAAAAATGGGGAAAGAAGCGAGAATGGATAAAGGGAAAGGAGAAGAGGTGGGAGGGGAAAGGAAGGAAGGGGAGAGGGACAGGTGTAAGAAAAATGGGGAAAGAAGCGAGAATGGATAAAGGGAAAGGAGGAAGAGGTGGGAGAGGGAAAGGAAGGAAGGGGAGAGGGACAGGTGTAAGAAAAATGGGGAAAGAAGTGAGAATGGATAAAGGGAAAGGAAGAAGAGGTGGGAGAGGGAAAGGA